TAAAATGAAATTTAAATCATGTTTTTTTATGAAAACCTCAAAGGGCCATAATCATCTACAATATAGAAGCTGCATACACATATCTGGATTTTTTATGATCTCTTTCAAGACAAATTTATTTTTTGGTTTAAAATATACAAATTGTTGACCAGTTATTCACATTTGACCGAAACATCTCACAAACAAAAAGTCATATTATTGTGGCTAATTTGTTTCATTCAATAACCATTTTTTGCAGACATGAATTTGTAATCAGTTTCCACCATGTATTTTTCAAAACACATTCTATCTGGAAAATTTATCTCGGTATGTTTTTAAGAACTACATGGCTAGATCAACAGTGATCAGCCCAAGTATCTCCAGTATGACATTGACGCATACCAGGTGAGCTACAAGGCTCTGTTCCTTTCTGCATTCATAGTTTAATCTTGTTCATGTCCAAACCTTGCTTTAATCACAATCACACAACAAAAACTCCTTGGCATTTATGAATTATACATCATGAAACCTCTGTTTACTTCTGTGTCAGAGTTTAATTGCTACATTCACTCCCACAATATCTTTAGTGTCTCCTAACACCTTAACACAATATTGAGTTTGCATTTCCCAGTACATTTTTTAAACAGTGTATAATGTGTGTTTAATTATTGCTATTTATTCCCTAACATGATAACTTATTGTCACTTTTTACACTCCTAAGGCCCAGGAGGGTTGTAGGTCTTGCTCCTCCCAACCCCAATTTTCTAGGAGGATGATCTATCCCTTAATAGCCTGTAATGTTTGTCTGTGTGTCTCGGTGACTCACAGAGGTTCCTTTGATGCCAGGGATCACATACCCACATCTTGCTCGGGGAGGAGGTGGGGGAGAGAAAGAATGGCGAGGGGCGGGGCAGTGTGAGAAGGGAGAGGAAGGGGGTGTTTTGTCAGACACTGAGATGAAAACAATGTCACGATGCCTTGAAGTATCCAGCCTGCAATGCTTAGTCAGACGTATTGTCAGTGTTGTGCTGAATGGCTGGACAGAGTTTATCTGGTTCAGTATTTCATGTAGTTTGTGGACGTGGGCAGTGGCTGTTTATGAGGTTTTTTGTGGGAGGAAGGGTTGAAGAGTATTTAGATTTTAGGATATCACGATAGAGCTAAGATGTTTGTTTGTTTGTTTGTTTGTTTGTGTTTAACGCCACACTCAGCAATATTCCAGCTATATGACGGTGGTCTGTAAATAATCAAGTCTGTACCAGACAATCCAGTGATTGACATCATAAGTGTCGATCCACGTAATTAGGATACGATGACATGCATCAAACAAGTCAGCGAGCCTGACCACCCAATCCCGTTAGTTGCCTCTTACGACATAGTTGCTTTTTACGTCAAGCATGGATTGATGAAGACCTATTCTACCCCGGATCTACACAGGTCAGAGCTAAGATGTGAAATCACCAGGAAATATTGCCTACATATTTTACATTCCATTTACCCTAGAAAGATCCAATTGTGCTGAATTAAATTTTATCCTTATTTTTATACATTAAAAGTGGATTTCACCAACACGATATACATCTAAGACCCGTACACTGTGATCACTGCTCCAAACTGATATGCCATGATATTTCTGAAATACTGTTCAAAGCAGTCTTAAACAATACACTCACTCACTCACTCACTCACTCTCACAAACATCTGGACTACTGTTCGCCCTACCTATCTGTGCTATGTGAGTATAGATAGTTGGTAAGGTGAGAAAGATGGACAGGACTCGGAAGCATCAGTGATGCAGACAACGTTGTGTACAAATCCTGGTCACATTTCAATAGGATGCTAAACAGTCCCTCTGCAGTTCATTGTTGATGGTCGGGGGTGTTCGTGTGAGCTTATTTACTTAATCTTGTTGGATCTACTTGGAGTGGTTTTTGAGTGAGTCATGGATGTGCCTTGTGTACATGTCTATTTCAGAAAGCTGTCACTTATGTAGACATGTCAATGAACTTTTGTGAGGGACTGTTGAGATATTTTTATCACATCATTATCTAAACATTTTAGTGGACAACTTTTGAGTTAAAATCATAATGTTTGAGCAGGTTATGTTTTCATGGCTAGAATGCTATCAGCACATGCGGGTCTTGTAAGGTGTGACGCACTGTGCATAGTTGCTTCCCTTAGTTGAGGCAGGATCCTGGTGATGGATTCAAATTGTACTCCCCAAGGTTATGCTCTTTGGTCTGCCAACACCATAGCTGGGCCCACCTGCACAAAGCTATCTTAGCACTAAGATTATGGTTACTTCCACGTTTTAACACAAGCTTACAATAGCTTTAGGGTGATGATCGCTTTGGGCAAGTAGGCCCTGTTCTTGTGGGTTTCATCCAGTTGGGAAACATCTATGATCTGCCCCCCCCCCCCCCCCCCTTTGGTCTTCCCTCCAACAAGCTGACTTGTTGTAACTAAAATACTCTTCCAAGTAGTTTTAGGGGTTTGTGGGGTCTTAGCCTGGTGGTAAAAGCAATCGTTAATCACACCGGACACCCGGGTTAGCCAGCATGTGTGGTGTCCCATAGCCATGATATTAGTGGTATAGTGCTACAAGTGGTGTAAAACCATACTCCCTCACTCACTTACAAGTGGTTTTCAACTGTATTTACTGGTGGTACTAGAACTACTAGCTCTCAACTCAAATGGGGTATGATTTTACACTGTAGCTGCAAGTTTTCAGCAGAGAATTAGTCTTCCAAGGCAGCTCCCATGGTACTTATTTCAGAGGATGACCAGTCCCAAGTTATCCATGCTTGTAGGTGCTAACTCAAAATGGGATTGAATTGTTACAATTAGTAACATGATTTTGATTTTGTTTCGTTCGTATTCCAACAAACTGTATAGTTGTTCATGTTATTACCCATTGGTTCTTATGACTGAGGCTTTATAATTTTCGGTATATATGCAATTTTGTTGTGATATTGCTAACTGCAGCATGAATCAAGATTCACTGGCACTCCATCTTGAAATTCCTTTAACCCCACAGGTCAAAGGTCAAAGGTCATTTTGATATATTTTTGATGCATGTTAATTATGCTGGTACATATAGTTGAGAATGTGAAAAGAGCAATAGATATTTTAAGGAAGAAATTGAATAAATGCAAAATAGAATTTTGAAAGATATGTTCTTGATTTTTCTTCAAAACATTTCCAGCAAAATAAATATGGATTAAACATATTATAATTTTGTCAACATTTTCACACTTTTACACCCATAGTGTTTTAACAACAATCTCATATTTCACCCATTCTCCAACTGAACACTTTGCAAGCACCTGTTGTAGTACATTCCAGGCTTTGTTTTGTACAAACATTTACATATTTATCCAATCACTGAGCCTGATTCAGTGTATGGGGGTGGCATATTTATCCAATCAGAAAGCAGCTGAGTGAAACACATGGGAACAATTTGTTTGTTATTGTCCCAAATCTGTATTTTATTAACTGAGTTAAGAATGATTCCATGAATCATGTGTCAGCCACAGTTTGGATATTTGAATTTAAATTTGATTTTTTTTCATTCAAAGACATGTGGTCAAATGCCTTCTTGCAGAATACATGTTTATTGTTTGTAGAAGTAAGGAAAATAGGTACAGGAAAATATTTTACATTTAGCTGTCAAAATCAGATGTGGCAAAAATTTTCCCCAATATTTTACAATGTTTTGACAAGTTGATTTGAAAAAAATGTCAACATATAAATTGCACTGGCACAAAAGATTCCTGACTGTTAAGGGATAGGTCATTTATTACAGACAGGGTCGGGTGTCAGTGGTTTTGATGCACTATAGTACTGAAAATAATGACTCTCTCTAATGTTTGTCTGACTCCCCTCCACCCCCCTTGAACACGCCAGAAACCTATGATTGTGGGTTCGAATCCCAGTTCGCCCCGATTATGTTTCTAGGTTTGTCAGCACCATACCCGAGATCGTGGGTTTCACCGAAGTGGTAAATGTCTGAGAACTGCATCACTTCGGGCTTTCCTCCCACATTAAGCTGACACGCCGTGATATATCTGGAATACTCTTAAAAGCGGCGTTAAACCAAGCTCACTCACTCACTCCACCCCCCTGTATAATAACTGACCGGGCCCAGGGTAGAAATTCATACTCTTATTCTAACTTTCTTATCCTAAATTTCCTCAATTGTCCCACATTGTGAATAGCTGCTAGATTACTGATGGGGCCTTTAGCTATAGCCACTCACTCACTCACTCACTTAAAGCAATATTCGTATCCAGCAAGCAGAAGTTGAAATGAACTATTTCTTAAGACTCAGGGAATTGTTTTCACGACATCCAACTTGGTATCTATATATGACAAGATATTGTTTGTGTCTGAGTCTCATATCAAGGATAGTGTATACTAATAGCGTCTAGCTAGCATCTGTTAGCAGTGTTAGTAATGACATCTTCCAAATGTTCTCCAAGGAGGAAGGATTCTTTAGACTGTGGCACAGGAAGCAGATTGTTGTTGCCTGTGGTTTCATGTCAGTGTTTGAATGACTGACTCATGGAAAATATGTCAATACCTTTTATCACTTGCAGAAATCATGCATTGGTTTATAAGCATTTCTCTGCAAGATCTATGAAACTTGAGACATTTCTTTCTGGTGCATTAATACAAATTCATCATCTCAGTAGCCTATGGAAGTGCTTAAATATTTCTATGAAGATATTCCCTTGAAGGTTAAACCTGTTACCATTACCCATGCTTATATCCCCATGAAAGTGTTAAACATATCTTCTTATGTATCAATTACTCTAGATTTTCATAAACAGCAAGGGCAGATAACTCCTAACACATTGTCATGGCATGGTTGGGAATATTCCTTGGAAACGTGACCTTTCTTGTGGATTTGTTGTTCATGCTATCAGCCCTTGGTTTGTCTGTGCCATGTTTAATTATCATGTAAGAAATAAAAGTGTGTTCTTACAGATGAATTCAACACTGTGTCCTTTATGTTTCAGACTTGTTCCCAGTGGTGTTTAACCTGGCCTCCAGAGCCCAAATCACTGCCAATGCAACGTGTGGAGAGACCTCAGAAGTGTTTTGTAAACTTGTGGAACATGTGCGGATATTCCCGGCTGAGAATCGGCACTGTGATATTTGTGATGCGAGGAGTTCGAATCCCGCCCAGCGCCATTCAATCAGAAATGCCATCGACGGGAGCAACCAATGGTGGCAGAGTCCAACGCTGACCAATGGGTATAAATACAACTATGTGACGATCACCTTGGATCTAGGGCAGGTCAGTCAGATTTAGTTTTCTGATTAATAGTTTTATTAGCATGCTTAAGTCAAAATATTAATTAAATTAAATTTGTGCAGCTCAGTATTTTATTATTTTATTTGGCAAAAAAAAATTATTTGGTTGGTCGGCTCATTTTAGTCAGAAAATATTTTTTTTATTTCTAATTGAATTGCAGAATGTTTTATATTTTGCTCATGATGTCAATCACTGCATTGTCTGGTCCAGACTCGATAATTTACAGACCGCTGTCACATAGCTGGAATATTGTTGAGTGCGGCGTTAAACAACAAATAACAAACAAACAAAGATAAGTCCTTTGTTCTTCTTTTAAGGTCAGATATTATCCAATGCATTTTTGTCAATTTTTGTTTCAATAGTTGACAGAGATATTTTGTTAGATTCTGATAGTTATATTTTCTGTTTACTAATCCATCAAAAATAGAGCGTTCAGGCAAATAAAGTTAAATTGAAATGTTTCATCTTTTTTAATCACTGTGGCTTTAGGCTATGATCAGTTAAATCTGTACACAAATATCTTTTTAGAATGAATGCTATGTGGCTTAAATAATTCTGAAGCTACGTTAAATTGTAATTCGCTGACTCACTTTTTAAAATGATGCATGATGTTTTTATAAATTTTTAAATAAAATTATTCTTCAGTATGATCTTGCCACATCATCATATTCGCTTTTCATAATTAGTGGATATGTCGTTGTTTCATTAACATTATGTACTCAAGTGTTCCCATAACCTGGCAGATGACAAAAGCCTCTGAATAACATTGCAGTATGGTGATGATTTGTAGCCAGTATGTTATAACAGCTACTGCACACCTGTAGCTCCAGGATAAATTTTGGCTGAAACAGCCCTCCATACTTTACCAGCAGTCTGTATCTTAAATAGCCATGCCCCTATAGAGGTGGGTTATTAGGTGTATCAGGTGAACTTTAATTAGCCTTGCACACTGTGGACATGGAAAGCAACCAGTGCATTGCAGCTAGCGTAACATCCCAGACGCATTCTACCAACACAAAAATTACATTGTTAACACTTTTTTTTCTGAGATCTGAGATTGTTTACCGTTCTGTGGTAATGTGATAAGCTTATGAATATCATAGCATAGTGCATTTTATTTTTAGTGACTTTAATTAGACTTGCATAGAATTGAACTTTGATTCAAATTTTCAAATTAGATACCTTTCGGTGAGTGTTTGATATTGGTGTAAGTTTATATGCAAGAAGTGGTGGGTGGGTTTCCTTGCTCAAGGTTGAGTAAATTTAAATTTGAATTATAATGCTATTTGAAAGGTGTTGCTAGTGTGATTACGCATATTTTATTGAAGTAATTAATTGCTGACTTACTTGTCATTTCCTCACTTAGTCATGTATATGTATGTACAAGTCTATTAATTATTTTGGGGTGATTCGCTCGTCATGCTGAAGACCCGGGCTCGATTCCCGACATGGGTACAATGTGTGAAGCCCATTTCTGGTGTCCCCCGCCATGATATTGCTGGAATATTGCTAAAAGCGGCGTAAAACCATACTCACTCACCCCCTCACTCACTCAGTCACTATTTTGGGGTAATGGGGTAGCCTAGTGGTTAAGGCATTCACTCGTCACGCTGAAGGCCAGGATTCGATTCCCGACATGGGTACAATGTGTGAAGCCATTTCTGGTGTCCCTTGCCATGATATTGCTGGAATATTGCTAAAATGTAAAAAAAAACTCACTCACTCTATCACATATTTCAATAAACTTACATATGTTTTTTTTCCATTTAATAACAACAACAAAATTTAATTATGTCTAATTCAATGATTTGAGTGTTTCTAAAATTTTGTTATACATTGTACCATATCGACAAGGAGGGTTCATTTGATAGGATCTTCATGTTTATCCGTTTACTGATAACTGTGAGTAGCACCCAGTGCAGGTAACAGGGGTGTTAATGTGGTGATTGACAGCTCCTTACACACCTCTGTGGACAACTGACATGGGGGAGGCATCTACGAGGGATAGCGCTATTGACAAGATTGCCAGTTTCATTGCTACAGACTAGGTTGTCAGTTTCTTTACTGTTGATAATGTTGTCAATTTCTTACCAGGGATCAACTTGTCAGTTCGTAGAGATACTACAGGACAAAGTTATCAGTTCTGAAATCAGTTCTTGGTCGGATATAGACGCCTGCTATGCGCAATTAGATGAAGTACTTCACGGGAACCATAGAACTTGTGTTTATAATTAAATCAGATGGCACAGGATTGGCTAGAGAAACATATTGCTTTTGAGAGCAGTCGTTAATAACAACTGATGGGATATGTTGCGTATTGCCTTTCAACATGTCTGTCAAGCATTGAGTGGATGAATTAAATGATCATACTTCTTAACTGAAACATTTTTATCAAGAAATTGATTGCTTTTATTGGACAAACTTAGATTTATGTAGGTGTTAATTGTGAGTGAGTGAGTATGGTTTTACGCTGCTTTTAGCAATATTCCAGCAATGTCATGGCAGGGGACACCAGAAATGGGCTTCACACATTGTACCCATGTCGGGAATCAAACCCGGGTCTTCGGCATGACGAGCTAACGCTTTAACCTTTAATCACTAGGCTACCCGACTGCCCCAGGTGTTAATTGTAATTATTCTAGCAGTAAGTTAATAACGGCTGTATCATGTTGTCAGGTATCGGGTTGATAAACTAAATATTCATGCTACTCAACTAATGGTTTTTGTTGGCATGGTATTAATTATTTTTTGGGATAAACACAAATGTATGTACAGTGAACTAAGTTCATAACGAACACACTTATAACGAACTAACCAATATAACAAACTTATTTTTTAGTCCTGGCCATTTGTTGTATTTATGCTGTATATATGCTTATAACGAACTACTTTTATTACGAACTAAGATAAGTGGTTCCTTTCAGTTCGTAATAACCGTAGTTTACTGTAGATGTTAATTGCAATTAATTGTAATTACGACTGATTGATGCTGTGGTCATGGATCAGTGAACAGGTCAGAGTCGCTTCTGGACAGGGAAAGGTAGGATATATGTACGACACACATCAGGCCGACCTGAGACATTTCGTATCGATGGAAACAGACTGGACACAACAATGACATCTTTGAACTGAGAGCATGTGAAAGAAACTCATATCTTTAGACACTGCTCATGTGATCTCACGTTCAGTCAGAATTATGCAAGTTTGATGCGACATAAACGAAGCTCCATTTCGAGATGCCTCTCCATCTTGATGCGGATTCCCAACGGTGTCAAGGAGTTACCAGTACACCACGCATCATGAGGGATTGGGTGACCGAGTTGTCTAAGGTGCTGCAATTCGCTGTGCAGAGTTATGTCCCTTGAGCATGCCAGAAATTTGTCACCATGAGTTCGAATCCCGGTCCGCCCTGATTATGTTTCTAGGCTTCAGCACCATACACATGCATTGGGTTTCACCAAAGTGCTAATCGTCTAAAACCTCCATCACTTCAGGCTTTCCTCCCAGATCAAGCTGAGATGTTGTGATATAACTGGAATACTGTTCAAGTAGCGTTAAACCTAACTTTGTTTACTCACCCACTGAAGATACCACTGTTTTATAACAATAAGCTGGTATTACACAGTGTTTAGTACCAATGTACATGCTTATGTACTGCTGGAACTAGTTTCATTAACAAATATTGAAAACTTTCAACATTGCTGAGGTTATTCAATGACATTGTAGAGATGATAGATCACTGAGATCACTGAAAAGAGCTTATGCACACTCGATGACCCCAGCAACTTCACAGACATTTTTTCTAGGGTGTTTTTCAACACATACATTAGCACAAATTACTCCATTGGGTAATGTGACATGTTTGTAAACTTTGTGGTGTTGAATTCTAAGGGTAGGCCGTTGTATGGTATGAAATTAATGTGTGTCGGCTTTAAATGTTTGAAGTTGTATTATTCTGTTAAACTCAGTTGGATTATGCTGTGGAACATTTAGATGTTTACACGCATATTTACACACGACAGTTAAATATTGTATTCATACGTTTGACCTAGTTCATGACGGGATTCCATAGTTCCATCAAATGTGTTTTGAAAAGTTATTAACGGCAAGTACTTAATAAGATACTTAACTCGCTCCCGTGTAATACCAATTTTATGAAACTAGTGAATAGATCTGGTATTCTCTCTATTCTCTATTCACTATTCACTCGTTTCAGAAAATTGATATTACACGGGAGCTTGTTTATTATTATATTTTTTACTTGTTGCTTTTAACTTTTTCAGAATTTCACTGTCATGTGTTAAAAGGCAGACATCTACGCGATCCACAGCAAAATCCTATTGAGTTTAACAGAATAATACAACTTGTTTAATATTCGCTATCATTCTCTCACACCATACAAGGAGCCAACTGATCAGAATCAGATTGTTACAGTGTGTGTCCTGTCATCATGCCCTGGTAGGGCTGGGACGGGTAACCCGGGTACTCGGGTCGGTTGGGTCGGACCCAGGGTACCCACAGGACTACCCGGACTCATGAGTTATGCGATATATTGTTTAACGACAAAAACTCACTATAGCTCTGTGGTTAAACTACAAGTCCCTAATGTTTGCATTTCTTTCTGACGATGCACACATTCCTTTTGACTTGTATAGGTTTGAGTAAAGATAAAGCTTCAGTCAACTTCAGTGTAGCATGATCTGATCAGTTGATACTTATGTCTAAATAGTTTTTGTCAGGGCTGGAGTAAAACAATTCCCAATCAGACATTTTGTTCCCAACTCTTGAGACTCGTCCCAGCCCTAATTGTAGCTCATGCTCTCAACCACTGGTTGGCCTACCCTAGGCCTAAATATTTACAAACTGTTGCCTGTCTGTCTGTTTGTTGTTTAACACCGCACTCAGCAATATTCCAGCTATATGACAGCGGTCTGTAAATATTCGAGTTTGGACCAGACAATCCAGTAATTGACATTATGAGC